ACGGTTCCCAAGTAACCAAAAGTTCCGCATTCAACGATAAAACTCACTTCCTAGTTCCATAAAGCTCAAATTAAGTTCCGACAGAACCTTCAAGTTCCATAAAGTTCGAATAAAGTTCTGACAGAACTTTCAAATTTCATAAGTTCCCTGCGGAACTTCTAAGCAGCTTGAAAGTTTCTAAAAAGGTCTGTCATAGCCCACATGAAGCAACAAGTCTTTTTAGGAACAAAAATTAATGTACGTAAATATGAATCGATCAGTAGCTCAAATAAATCATAATTCTTATATTCATGCAGTGCATCGATATTCCATCCAAAGATAAAAAAAAAGTAGAGGGCAATTTCCTAGATACGAACCTGTGTATGCGGCATGCGATCTACGAATGCGCCACAAGTGTATTGGAATACCATGCGGGCAAACACCAATTTAAAATTCATCAAGGTGTTGTGTTTCGTTTCAAGTCAGTCAGCTGGCACTGAAAACTCCAACAGTAGACGGGACAACAGCTCACTTTATTATATCTCAGACGACGTAGCGGTTCGTGCTGGAACTCTCACGCAGAAGGACTGGGTGTAATTCTTCAAACAGTTCCAATACTACTACTAATGCTGACAAATCAATACAATTCCTTACCAACCTTTAGAAATAACTTTTCATAAAGACCTGACTTTAGAAATAACTTTCATAAAAGTGCAAACTAAATATAAATTAAATATGTATTGGTGTAGAAGAGGACAAAATCTTTTTTTTTTTTATTATTTTCTAAAAGTTCCGTTTGAGTTCCGTTAGAAGCTGCTTAGAATGCTCTTCAATTATGGTACCGGAACTTTCAAGTTCTTATAACGACTTAAAAATAAGGCTACTTAGAATTCTATAGACCACCTTCAACCAAGCTTTTTAAGCCACAAATAGCCTTTTGGTTGCTAGGGGTTGTTACTAGAGACCGCGTATACCTCTGCATCTCCGTGGTTGTCACGGGAACGACGTTTTTTGTTAGTGGGATGGGTAAGTTAGATCTGGATTCACATTGACGCGACCCCAACAACTCAGTAATGTAAAGGAGCTTGAGTTCTAACCCACAATTTTCTGCTCAGTAAGCAAAGCCGGTCGCTCTAAGGCCACTGTGCCACTTACATCACAACAAGCTACGACCGACGATCGTTCATTATCGGTTACAAGAAGCTATTACAATGAAATGAAATCCTCCAAAGTAGTTAACAATGTCTTCCGAACCGGATCAGGCATACGTCACATAGGTCTAAATATACTTATAACTTTTCTGAATCGTTCCTCCAATTTCTGATATTAGCAATTTTCTACAATAGTGGCCTGGATGATAGATCAACTCAGTAATGAAATGAGGCTTGGGTTTTAACCCATGATCTTCTACTTATTAAGCAAAAACGGTTGCTCTATAGCCACCGTGCCCCTTACATTACCACAATCTACGACCGACTTAAACAAAAAGCTATTCAAATGGAGCGACGTCTCTGAAAGCAGCCAACAATGTCTTCCAAACTAGATCACCCATACACCCTTTCCAACACTCATGGTTTAGATAATTCAACTATTGATTATTAACTGCGCTTCATGGTCTCGGAACCCAACGATGGCGGTTTATTATGTTGTGGGAGAACTTGGGATTAAACCCATGGGTTATCGAGCATCTCAAAACCATAACACTCCACGGCAAAATATGATTAAGTTTTTACTTGGTATGTAATGAACTACAGAAATACGCGATAATTCATATAGTTTCAGCGGTTGATGGTTAATTTCAAATAAACTAACGGTACTGCCTACGGCGACAGCGACGGCGCCTACTACGACGACAACAGCGAATTTGTAACTTACCATTTGTCTAGGATATAACACCTTAGCCCAGCACCTCGATGTGAGCTTCAGGTCTGCTATCAGTCACTGTTTGCAAAAATATCTAATAGCAATTACCTTTGTTGTAATACTTCCTTCAACGAAAATAAATTTTCTTGCATTGCCATGGTCATCTGAGAGGAGGATCGCGTCTAGTGCTTTCCCCAGGAACCGTTCACGGCCACCAGCTACCGCCCGTCCAGTCTTGGGTGTTTCCAGCGAGGCATCCTTAAGCTTGCTCACAATCTCCGACACTGGCGAGAGACCAGCAGATGAGCACTTTTGCAAGCCGAAAATTTGCTGATTCACGGCAACGTCGGCCACCAAATCACCACCAACACTCGCGACGGACACATTATCAGCACTTTCCTCATTAATTTGCCAACCGGACCTTGTTCAAACTCGCACACGGTGACAAGACTCTCGATAGAACTACACGCCGAAAGCGTGACATCCGAACACGGTGCACCGGCCTCCCGGGAGGCAATGAAAATCACAAGCACACCTACACACCGCTGGTTACAAAAAGCACACCCGTGCAAAGAAACGTCACTCTCACGAAAGCAAACTCGTCGTTGTCGAAAGGCAAAGGAACTCGGTGAGCAATTTTGTGATACGGAATTTCCACTTAAAATCAACCGGGAATGCACGAATTTCACCACACCCAACTACGAAACACGTTCAGAAGCACTTTTGGTACACTTTCGATATCAATTTCGGGAATTAGGAAAGCTTATATATATAATACAGTTTTGGCGCCAGCGTTATTATCCGGAACTAAGGTAGCGGTATTAACAAAGAAAAACAGGGTGGCACTAGCAAACTACGAAAAAATTATTCTAAGGAACATTTTTAATAGCTGTAAAAAACCAAGTAATATGAAATTTAATGCAAGAAAAATTTTAACAGGAAAAACAATAAATAGACGAGTTAGGGTAGGCAGAATAAGTTATTTTGGACATATCAGAAGAAGAGAGATGAATCATCCACTGCAATTAGCGTATAGGTTCAAATTCAATAAGAAAAAAGACGGTAGACCAAGCCTTACTTGGAGGAAATCATTAAATCAGGACTTTGATCGATGTGAAGAACTTGAATGGGAAGAACTAGCTAAGGACAAAGAAAAATTAAAAAAGAAAGTGGAAGCAATTTATAAGAATGAGGATAACGAAATTTCAGATGGTGTATCGACAGAGGAAGAAGATCGAGGAAAAGGAAGTTATAAACACTACAAGAAAAAAGGATAAGACAGAGAATGTGTAACAAGGACTATTGCAAAAAAAATATATATATATTAAAAAAATTGTTGAACGACATGGTCTACGATTCAAGATTGGTTTCTGTAATGATAAGTATCACGATCTTCATCGAAATGTAAGTATTATTGACAATAATCATAACAATCAACTCGTATATACATTGAAATACATTAATAAAAGGGAAGGGACGGTCCAACAGGGCACCCGATTGAAGCGATTTGGACGGGGAGAGCGGGAATGCCAAATCCCTGTTGATAACATTTCGTGGATAAAGGGCGGGCTCTTCTCCCCACTCATTGGGGCATCTTCCTGTTTGGGGGCTTGTCTTTTTGACCAATTGGCTGATCAAGTTGCTGGAAGGAGTTTCTTTATTGTTCCGTAGATGAGTATAGGCGACTTTGCCTATCGATCTACCCAATCCGTTTTTGGCCCTTCATACAGCGACATGTTGAAAACAATCAGAGGTTATTAAGCTTGATCAAGACAAACAGAGAAGAGAGCTAACCAAAATTATCCATGCCAGGATGGTGGAACTCAGAAATAATGCTTTTGCCAACAAGATTCGCTCTCTCCCAGATTGTGCAAAGCCATTTTGTAAGATGACTAAAATTTTGAAAAATAAGTCGAGGCCGATGACCAGAACTCGGCCCCATCCCTACTCATAACCCCAGTTGAAAAGGTCAATGCTCTTGGCCAACATTTTGTGATTTCACATAATCTTGGCGAAGCCATGGTGAGCCCCCATGAGCCTGCCGTACTGGAGGCAATGTCTAGAGTCGCTGAGAGCCCCGTAGTAGTGCATGATGATAGTAGAATATCGGCTGATGAGGTGATAGCAGTTGTTAGAAGAACTAAAAATATGAAGGCCGCAGGGAATGGATGGTGTAGTCAACTTCAAGTTGAAAAACTTAAGTATTGACTTCTTTAACCATCTTGCCGTTATCTTCAACAAATATTTGTAGCTTGGCTACTTCGCTGTATGCTGGAAGTTAGCCAAAGTGATTCCAATACATAAGCCTGGCAAAGATCCCACCAGTGCCAAAAGCTATCACCCCATCAGCCCCTTGTCCTCCATCTCGAAAGGTTGATGCTCAACCAGTTGCTGGAGCTCTCCAACGAAAATAACATCTTACGCAAGGAGCAATTCGGGTTTAGGAAAGGCCATTCAACGATCCACCAACTAAGTAGAGTTGCTAACATCATCAGGCGGAACAAGTCCGTTTCGAAAACATCTGCTATGACATTGTTGGACGTTGATAAGGCGTTTGACAATGCCTGTTCTGGCATGATGGCCTAGTGTACAAACTGCATCGATTCAAATTTCCGATTTACCTCGTGAAGATCATCAAAAACTACTTGTAGGGCAGATCATTCCAGGTCTACTTGAACAATGTCCCCTCTGATACGTTCAACGTTGATGCAAGGGTCCCTCAGGGTAGCCTGCTTGGGCCTATCCTATTCAACATTTTCACGTCAGACGTTCGTCCCCTGCTGTGGTGGTATCTTCGCAGATGACACCTCCATCATCTATAAGGTTCGAGTGAACCGTGCTCTCCCATCCGGACAAGACATCCACCAAGTTTAACATCTTAAGCGGCGCCGGTGGTGTAGTGGTAAGCGTGATTACCTCTCACCCCAGCAGGCGTCACCGGGATGCCTTCCTTCGGAAGGGAAGTAAAGCCGTTGGTCCCCGGTTCATGAGTTGATGGGTCGATAGGTAGGGTCCAGGAGTGGGAGCTGCCTCCCTGGCGTCGGTAGCATTGATGCTCAGCTCAGCAAAAAAAATGTCCTAAATTTCACTCCATTTAACACCGAAATAGATCGTAGGAATTTCTTTTTAGTTCATGCAATATAAACCTCGATCCGCAGTTTCATCCAGCCAATACTTTCAATGTTCCAATAATCAATAACTCTATCAACTACACATAAGTACGAATAGAAAGGAATGTATAAATATCTACTTACTTAGTTCCGTTCACAGATTATTTCCACAGCATTCGGCTCCATCAGGATGGGCTCCAAACACCGTAGAACAGCCGACCCCAGAATCTCGTCCAGTAGAACGTGGATCAAACTGCAACCGAGAAATATTTGTTTAGAATTACGTGCCTCGAGCAAAAAAAACTACCAATTTCAAACATACTTCTCATCGGACACAAACCGCCACAAATTCATCTGCAGGTAGTGCGCATCCACCTGAATCTGCTGCAGTCCATACTTGCTGAACGTCCTCAGCCGCACGCACTCCAGCAGCGTCTTCAAACAGATCTTGATGATTCCGGTTATGATGGAAACCTTGGAGAACTCGACCGAGCTGAAAATTTCAATCTTCTCCGAAAACAGCCGATGAATGTTGGACACAAAGCTACTGTCCATCTGCGACGGCGTGTAGGTGGACCACGTCGACCGGTACTGCGACTGCTTGGAGGCGGTCAAGCTGAAGTGCGTCTTGCGACTGGAATCGCTGCTCGCCGCCGTGCGCTGTTCGAGCTTACTATCGTACAGTTCGCCGAGCACGTTGTCAATGGCGGATAGCTCCTCGACGACGCGCTTCATCACCGCCCGGACCGAGCGTGGTTCCAGGCAGTTGAGCCAGTCCCGTGTCTCGACGCTTTTGCGAAGCATCTGCGATAGATTCAGACCTTGCAGACGGACGTACGAATCCAGCAGGTGCTGAGCGGAGTCCCGCATCTCCGAGCAGAGCTCCGTTTCGTGCACCAGGGTGGTGCTGTTTTCCGAATCGATGTCGTACAGCTCGTCAACGAGGGAGATCTGCGAGGAAAATAAACTATTGATCGTCATCATGAAGCGATGAATTTCGAAATTGATACTCACCAAAACGTGCACTCCACTTTTGTCCATTTCCAAGCACATTTTCGACAGGATTAGCAAAAGCGTCGGCGGACTGGAAGAATTTAAACTTCCAAAGGCATTCATTGTGGTGGAGATGTGTCGCAGGAATCCCACCAACAGATTCTCTCGGATTCCTTCAATGCAAGTAGCGCCCTTTGGATCGGCCTTCAGATTGAACGACCAATCCGGTTGGAGGAAAATCAACAGGTCTTGCAGCAGTCCTTTAACCTTCTCCATAGTCGAGACGTACAGATTCGCAATGAGTTCCTTCAGACCCGTTTGAAGCGAATTCGAAGACGACGAAGATGTGTCAGATTTCACCGAAACCAACGCCAATCGTATCGAGCTGAGATTATCGGAGAAATGATCCTTTAGCGACTTCATATGCGCCTTGCAGAGCTGATAAGCTGCATTGACGATTATGTCGATTCCGGACTTGCTCATATCCAATGCACGGCAGAGCGATTTCATTGCCGTTAAACGGCGATGCAAACGATCCAATCCACGCAAAATAATCTGCGAATCACCGTGACCGATCTCAACCTCCGCTCGATCCTGCACCAATGTCAAGTACTCATCAATATTCCTGTTAACGAAATCGTTCAAATCCATCCGAGCGATTATCTCGAACTCATCCTCTTCCTGCTCAATGTGCTTGGTCAGGAACATGTCATTGTACGAACTGATCACCAGCGTCAAATCGTTCAGAAACCCTTCGATCCCCAAATCGATAAATTCGATCATATCCCGATCCGTCTGATCCTGTAGCATAACCAACTGTTCGTGCAACCGCTTCGTAGCGCACTCCAACATCTCCTTGGCCAAGCCCGAAGGCTTTTCATCCAACTGCAGTAGAAGCTCCCCAATCTCCGTCAGCGACTGTGCCGTCTTCCCCGTCTTCTGGAACTCCTGCTTTAACAGCTTCTTCAAATCCTCCAAAGTCTTCACACAATCCTCCTGAATCCCCTGAAACGACGGCTGATTCCCGTACTGATGCAGCACCTTCTGTGCGTGGGAATACTCCTGCACCGCTTGCTGATAATTCCCATCCTCAATCAACGTTTTCAGCTTAGCCGGAAGTGAGGACAAAAATTGCAGCTTCTTCAACAACTGATGCTTTCCGGACAACCTGGTCAACTGAGTCCGCGTCTCCTGCAACGTATCCGTAATCTTCTCACTGCACTCCGTAATCGAGTCCATATTCGACACCAGCAGATTCATTTCCGTTTCCATGCTCTTAAAGTCCGTCTTCATCTTCCGGATGGTATCCGTTGCGGAGATGAATTTGTTGTAGTTTTCGTACACCAACGTTTGCATGTCGCTGTGCAGGGTTTGCGTTTGCCGAACGATGGCCGCTTCCGTGTCCATTATCTGCTTGAGGGAGCATTCCTTGGAGAAAAAAAAATTAAGGGGAACCGAAAACGTTCCGGTGCTCTAAAAGCCATGAATCAAAATGTAAACAAACCTTCAGCAGCTTCTGCAGGTAGCGATCCGGATCGAAACCGGAACTATCCATGTCGTATGGGTTAGTGGACTTTTCACTCATGTTTTTTCTACGATTTTCCCCCAATCAATTTGTGGTATTTACGAGAAAAATCAATTATTTTCAGAGAATTAAATGTTTAGTCCCAACCACTGAACAACATCAGTATTTTGTTTTCAAGAATGATGACGTCACCTGCTGTCAAAATCAGATGTTGGTGAACCTTACAAATTCCCGCAGGAGGCTTAGCCAAGTTTGGTCGAATTCACGGTGTGAGGAATAATTTCGATTTCACTTGTGCTATAATTTTTAACCATAAGGAAATGGCTGGATTAACACCGACAAACTGACATGAAGCTTAAGCTTAGGCCGTTCGCAATGCTGTTTTATTTGTTATGGACTGTTTCAATTTGAAACTAGAACAGAAACGCACCCCTCGCAATGCTGAGTTGCAGTTTCATTATTCGAGCACTATTTTTCATCAGATTCATAGAGGTGCATACATGCATATAGAAGTGCATGAGCATACACAATATAAATTTGAAAATTTTACAGAACTTCATTGCAATAACGAAGAGCTTCACAAAAAATCGGAGAACTTCATAGATAACAGTAAACTGTATGGGGATTGTATTTTTAAAAAGTTTCAAGGAGTATCATTGAAGTTTAGGAAATTTCAAAAAAAGTGGGAGGTATTTCGTAGCTGTGGAATGGTGGTTTTCGATGACTGTTGCTCTATTGGGTACATGATCATCCCGGTACTACCATAGAGGTAACTCTAAGACCAGAAGGTCCCGAAGAAACGAGCTCAACTTTTTGGCTCAGCTCTGGTACTCTCTTCGGTCCCAAGCTAATCGATGCACCCCTCGAAACATAGGAAAATCCACTAACCCCTCATTTTATCTGTCAAGCTTTCATAGAGAATCAAAACAAACATAGTGAAGTGCTAGAATTTTGACAAGAATGGGGACGTTAATGGATTTACTTGGGACCAATAGGCTAGTCAAGTAGTGACCCAATTTTTAATCGTTAGTTTCCACCGGTTGGTGGTACTGGTAGTGACGGTTGTGCAAGGCATTCATCGTATGACTTGTAGCAGATTTCGTTCACGACACCGTGTAGTGGAATTTCAGGGTTATTTGAAAATTTTCCATCTGTCCAATTTAACTGAAAATTCACCAAAGGAACACAGCCTAAGCATAGAGGTAACTCTAAGACTAGTAGGTCCCGAAGAAACGTGCTCAACTTTTTGGCACAGCTCTGGTCCAATCTTCGGTCCCAAGCTATTCGATTCACCCCTCGAAACATAGGAAAAACCACTAACCCCTCATTTTATCTGTCAAACTTGCATAGCGAATCAAAACAAACATTGTGTTGTACTAGAATTTTGACTAGAATTGGATAAGTTAGTCGATTTGTTTGGGACCAATAGGCTAGTCATGTAGTGAGCCAATTTAAAATCGATAGTCTCGTATTGATTGTTGGCCTAAGGCCGTTCGCAATGCTGAGTTTTAAATTTGTTTCAAACAGTTCTAAAATTTGTAACTGTCAAAAATGAAACTGCAACACGATCAGCGCAACGCACAGTTTTAAACGGTGTTTGGTATTCATCCCTACATATGTGTGCGTGTGCAAATTTTGTTTGCTTCGGTGATTATTAATCCAGTATCCGGTAACGAGTTTGAACCACGAGAAGAGGCCCCGGACAATTCTGCTGTAGAACTCAGCAGATGAACGCTGAAATCACCGGTGCCGCAGTAACTGTAGCCGCCGTGGAAGGAAATGATCAGACGGGTGAAAAATAACAGCTCGGTTTCACAATGATCAGCTCCGCTCATCCTGGTAGCAATTTTGTTTATGATTCACTATTGAGTGTGTAAACGCAGCGTGAAATAGTGTACTGCTTCGGACAGGTGTTAGAATGCGTCCTGTTGTTGTTCATCTCGGTTTTTGGGGAATCCATCGTGGGCCAAAAATTCGTGATTTCATTTGCGAATCCAAAAATTGAATTAAGTAATTGGTATATGATTTGACATTTGCGCAGATATAGTACAATGTTGCCAGTAGCTTTAAAGATCTTGGAAATTTCCAACCCTGGATGCCAAACAGTGATTTTGGCACACTGTGCGGAGTGACCAACCCTCTGATCTGAATGTTTGTCTGCCACCAACATAAAATGCGTTTGAGTTGCGTTTTCGTAAATTTGACAGTGTGACAATAGATTTAGCTGTCACTTTGCCGCAACTCGTCCAATCCAGATCTCATGTGGGTGGCCCTCATCTATAGTAATAAAAAAATACTAGAGTAAAACCACAGACAAACAGACATAATATTTCTCACTGTAAAACATCGTCGCTAAAACATTACCATCATCTGTTGAGTACACTGTGGTGGGTAGTACGCTGAACAGATGGCGGTAGTGTGTAAACGTCAAACTCAAGGGAAATGACTCTGCGCGCCACAGGTGGCGGTACTACCAACTACGATTCGTTTAAATTGACCGTTAAATGCAGGGGGAACGACACTTCAGGATTATCCCATTTTTACCAAAACCTCTCATAAAATTTTCAACGTCACAAAATTTCAATCCATCCTATTTATTCTTTCTATTCCCAACTTATCCCTTCTGCATGCACACAAATTGTCAAGCAAGCCGTGCAGTTTCTCGAAGTTTTCAGGCCGGCCGCGAAGCACACTGCCATACTCACTGTCAGTTTTCAACAATCTCCACAACAAACACCATGTACGTCAGCTGGCTATACCGGTTAAAAACCGGTGCGAAAACTTAAACCTAGTGCGGCTAATTTTTGCCTGTATAAGCTAAGCTGCAGCTAAAATTGTTTGTTGGGGATGATGGACCACTCGTCTAAAATCGGTCGCGGGACAACAGAAGACGGCAACGCACATCCATTTCCCGGACTCACCCCGATCGAAGTTGACGGATAAGAGCCCAGGTGTCTGTGTGATGAAGCATGGAAGTTACGACAAGCAGGTGAAAAAGGACTTCAGGTCATTTTTTCCACTGGGCCCAAGTTTTACTCATTGCTTCTGCTGGTCAAGGATTTGGAGAAGAAAGAGCTAATGGTGAAGGAATACACCCACCGGCTGATTGAGTTTCTGTGCGAGAATATTGTGAATCAAATTCCCGTCCAAATACAGCTGAAAATATTAACCGGAAGCTAGTGATCCATCGCCACCACCCGTTCCTCCTACGGTGCAGTTTCGACCTATTTGGTATGGAACCGTTTTCTGCACTTGAGCTGTGATCTTTGGTTAACATTGTTGGGTGGTGTCCATTAATTACGTTACGCTAAAAATCAATATGTTCGACCCCCACCCCCTTTCGAACAAAACGTTACACTGAAAATGATCCCCCTCTATTTATTGCGTAACGCTCTAAAATACAACCCCCCCCCCCACCCCGCCCGTATTATTTCATTAATTTTTTATTCCGGTATGTCTTTTTTATTTTTCAACATAAAAACAAAAGATCAACGTACCATCGAGTACCTGCTTTTCAAAAGTTTAAGCATAGCAAAAATCTCAAGATATAGCATTAAAACATACCCATTTTGGAAGCAAGATTTAGTGATAACATTTTTTGCCCTGTATTTTGAAACTTTACATCATAAAAAAAAAAAAAAAAAACAAAATGTTCTTGTTGTTACGTAACGGAAAGCTTTACCCCTATGTAATAATTCGTTACGATATAGGTGACCTCCCTCCCCCTATAAGCGTCACGTAATTTATGGACGCTGCATTGCAGCAGATTTTTCTTCTTTTTACACCTATTATTCTTCGCGTTCGGACTTTTATTCCTCTGAAACTTTTTAACACCCCTTACATCACATCCATCATCCATTCCCTGATCAATCCCATCTATTTTTTCTATCCGTGCTCTATTTTCGCCAACACGACACACTCAAAAAAGTCCCATCAATTATGTTTTCCCCGAAAATCCCAAGTAATTACTAGACTGAAAAAATACATCCAAGTGAGTGTCGTTCCCCCTGGTTATAATGGTTATTAGTACTTGAAGATTATAAGAAGGAGTCGTGAAGTATGTATTTGACACATTAAACCTGTCACAATCAGCGATTTTACCATTCTTGAGCGCTCACTCTGAGTGAACGCTCACGAATCATAAGATCGCTGATTGTGACGCTCTGAAAGCGAAATTGGCAGGTTTTATGAGTCAAAAACACTCTTTTTTCACCCTCTTCTTGTTACTTGTAAGGACAATAGGTCGTATGAATAAAAGCGTTTACTTTACTTTTCCCGTAAGAAAAGCACAGGAAGGTAAAGTAAACTCTTTTTATTCATACGGCCCAATATATCATTATATCTCGCCTAACTTTTCAAAAGGTCCTATCTAACATTTCACTCTTTTCGAGAAAAACGAGGTTGAAGATTGACAAAATCTTTTTTGATACTGTTTGAAACCAAATCAACTTTTGACATTTTTAAGACCTTTAATAGTAAAATGCAATAGTAAAATTGAAATTGAAATTATAATCTACCCGTTTCATAAATTTTTTTCTATGAAAACGTGAAAAATGTTACATAGGACATTTTGTTCTTGTCAGGTGTACATTGGACATGTTATATAGGACGTTTTGTTATAATCACAGTTACATAGGTCATTTATGTTTTCAACACTATTTGTTTGTTTTTAAGCATTATGAGTGCATAATTTAAGTTATACGAGCTAAACGAACAATATGAGTATTGGACAATGCATTAACTTTTTTTTAACGGTATATCGCAACACTGCCCACAGATTGTTTTGGTCGACCGTTGGTGGACGCGTGAGCTGCTTTTTATTTGATAACAGTGTTAGTTTAGGGACTGTTCATTAACTACGCTGACAGCTTTTCGGTATTCTTGACCCCCCCCCTCCCCATGCGTAGACAATTGCCCTTATAAAAATTTTAAAATTTGTATGGGCCGTGGATAATTGACAACCCCCCCCCCCCCCACGCGGAAATAGTAGAAAAATGCTTGACATGAAAATTCCGATGTGCACAATCACATTGTTTTGGTTTGTTTGAACATTTTAGATGTTTTACTCGTATAAACACAAAGGACCGAAGTACAGATCTGCACTGTTTTGGGTTTTCTGATACTTCAGACGTTTGTCTTGATGAACATAGGCAAACGTTTTATGTAACAGTGAAACATCGTTAATGCAAATTTGGACTTCAGACGTTTTGTTAATTTAGAATTTTCTCAATTCAATTGACATTAATCTGAATGTGAGTGTGTGCATAATGTTCTTAGGTACATATGTTACAATGTGCATTTATAAACTCGATTTGTTTACATTTGTTACTTAGGACCTTTTGAAAAGTTAGGCGAGATATCATCTAATGATTTCATTATACCGAAAAACATTTTTTTTATAGCAAGTGAGTGGAAGCAACCCTGCTTTGAAATTTTATCAGTGTAGGCTAGTCAAGTAGTGATCCAATTTAAAATCGTTAGTTTCCGCCGGTAAAACCGCATACAAAATCAACACACTCGTCAACGCAAAATTTAAATTTAAATGAAATATTTTTTTTTTTAATACTCGATAAAATATCAAATAATTTATTGATTCAAATATTGATATAAATAATTAAATTATTAATTTTTAAATGCGCAACATTAAAGACATTAAAAACATATTTTTTATACCAACATTTTTTTCGATCACTTTATTCGAACCCATTCTGTTGCGCATCGAAAATGCAATCTCGCACCACGCCATGAGTTTTAAACAGCAAAGACCCAGAGAATTTGTCGTCTCTTTTATTCCTTCGCATTTAAATGAATGCCGGAGTTTGACGTCACGGAGGAGCAAAAAAGACGACAAGTTCTCTTGGCCTCACCTGTTTATGCTCATTGGATCGGTTCGTCAACAAAAGGCCTTTTTGCTGGCATTTCGGCTCCGGGAGCGGGCGGTCGGAAAGTGCTGCTGATGCTGCTATTGAATTTACGTGAGCAAAAACGGGAAGGATGGTTAGCGGTGTTTGGTTTGTCCGCTCAAGCAGACACGATTTTCAGTGCGAGTAAAAGGGATAGCAGATTGCTTTTCAACTATGCAGATGAGGCGATTGTTCTCTCGTTCCTTTTGTTCTCGTTTCTCGATCTCTTCAAGTTCAGTTACCGTCCATCGTCCGAAGTGTGTGCAGGTGCCGTTTGTTGTTCTATGCGCGTCAACTTTTTTTTTACAACTGCTCCTCCATGAAAGCTAGTTAAGATTTAGTGATTTTTCTGCGTTTGATTTAACTAGCGATTGAATTGAAATTTGCTCAGTGTGATTCGGGAAAAGGTTTTCCGTTCAACGAAGATTGTATCGGTTCAGGTTGTGCGGCGAAAAGTTCGCGTTTTAGTTGAATATTAGCCCGAAGAAGAAATTGCAAACGTGGTTGACACATTCAACAGCATCATCACCAGCGTTCCTTCTGCGTCCGTCCAACACCTACACATACCTACCAAGTACGTCTCTGCTGGGAAAATAAGGTCGCAGAGTGAAGCACAATCAGGATAGTGATGAGTTGTGATTTATAAACATTGCAATCGGGGGAACACGGATGTAAACAAACGGAACCCGCCTATCGCTATTCCTGGTACAAATGCTACTGCCACAGCAATAACATGTTCTTTCGCGGTGGCCTCAGCGTCCGGCGGAATCTCTACTCGAAGCTGATCCTGGTGCTGATTTTAGCACTGTTTGTTTTGTTCTACTTCAAGAATCTGAATGGCAATGGCAACGCGAACAGTATTCCGATTGCGAACGGGTTGGTGAGTACGCTGAACAGGGGAAATTTGCTGGCCGTGGTTGGTACCGACGGTCAGGATCAGCTTTTCGAACAGCTCGTGCAGGCTGACCTTGTCAAGCAAGAGAAAGGCCTCGGGGACAATGGAAAGGGTGTCGATCTTACGGGTGAGGCCAAGGAGATTGGCGAGAAACAGCTGGCCACGATTGCGTTGAATGAGGAACTGAGCGAGCATCTGAGCTACAATCGGACTCCTCCGGACGAGCGACATCCGGCTTGCAAGCGGAAGGTTTACGATATCGGGAACCTCCCGTCTACGAGTGTGATCATCATCTTCTTCAATGAACCCTACTCGGTGCTGGTCCGAACCGTACACAGCGTTCTGAATACGGCCGATGCCCGGCTGCTGAAGGAAATTATTCTGGTGGATGACGGGAGCACCAACGAGGAGCTGAAGGGAAAGCTCGATTACTACGTACGGACGCGGCTATCTTCGAAGGTGAAGGTCTTGCGGCAGCGAAACAGGTTAGTCTACTCGGTTGTACCCTTCTTTCCAAATGTCGTAGGTGGGAATCGTGTGAAAAGCTTCTTAAACACATGGAAAGAATAATTCGATTGTTCTCGGCATCTCTCGCGCTTCTTGTGATAATACACGTTGCTCTCAACCTGCCCCATGGCAAGTGACGAACGCAAAAGAGGGCAAAAGAAGTCCGCTGTAGTCTGTGCGCTCTTTCTGGGCTATCCGCGAGGGAATTGGTGTACATACCTTCCTACCTTCCAAGTTGCTTTCCTGCAACGTGTCCAATTTTTTTTTTTGTCATCTTTGTGGTGGTTCTTTTTTACGACTCGCTCGCCGGTGGTGCGTCGCAGCCGTTCTGCCACTTCTTACTGTTGATGTGCTGTTGGTTGTTGTGTCGCGCTGGACATTCTTTAAGCTTTCTTCGTCATCGTCGCCGTTCGCTGTGTTTACGGGTTGCGTGAGTGAGTGGTAGGTAAGTAGGTGGGGGCACTTAACTGCCTATAATCGCATATTAGTCCCATATGGATTTTCGTTAATTTCAAGATAATAACGCTATCCACTATCAATTGGCATCTACTTTCGTATTGCGTGATAAAACCACGGGCTTTGATCATGAAAAATTTGAAAACAACATCAAGTCAGTTTGTCCCATAAAGCAAAGTAATCGCACATCAGTGCCAGCCTGAAATTCAATCGTCCAGAAGTCAAGTTACAGTTCTGCTTTCTGAAACGGCTTGACAAAATTATCGATAAATTAACAGTGATTTTTATTTAATATTTACGTGGAAATTGAACTTCGCAACTTCAACTGCCATTTCCTCAATGCCTAATTTTTCCAATAGAATTGGTATGTGATTATACTGCCCTTTTCAGCATCGTTGTCCCATTCGTGAAAACAGCAAACTGAGAAAAATTCTGTTGAAGGTTTTTTTTTCTCAATGGACTCTTAAGGACGGAACAACGTTGCTTAGGTATTTTTTGCGACATTTTCTGACCAAAGTAGGAAACTTTTCCTGTTAATTTTGAAGTTACAGTACTTGACTATCGATTCCAATGTATAACTCATTTTCGCCAAAAATGCTAATGGGACTGTTATGCCGCACAAGGCAGTATAGGCAGTTAATACTAAAAACGAAACAGGTTGAACACTTGATGAAGAGAGGGGCTTGCTTTTTTATTTGCTTTGGCAAATTGACTTATTAAGATAAGTAACTAATGACATCACAAGATAAGGGTATAGATAAATCATACTCTAGGGAAGGTATCGCTTTTATATTAATCCCTCAGGCGAATCACGACCGTCTGTTATCAGCGGTCCTCGGTCCAATTCGGTGAAGCGGATTTTATCTAGGTTTTTCGTGGAGCGTGTGCGCTACTATCGATTAACATAGTACCCAAGAAAAGAGCCGCCTGATTGATTAGATAAAAAAAAAGTGATACATATTAAGAATACAGCATTTCTGTGCAAATTGCGAGCGGGTTATTTGTCAAGTCTTCGTAAAGCAACGCAGACAGGTGTCTGGTTTTTTTTTCGGCTGAGACCTGACAATAAACTCTATCAGCTGATTGTTATCGAAAAAATGTGTCTTCCAGTTTGCAATGACCAGACTACTAGAAAGTCTGGTAATGTTTGTGACTATACCCGAGCAGAGAATGAAAACTAAATTTGATATTTTGATATAAGCGTTCGTTCGGCAATCATAACAAGCTATGACCGACGTGACGATTGTTTAAAACCTGGTTAAACAAGCTATTCAAATGAAATTACGTTCTCGAATTTCACTTGGTATGTAATGAACAACAGAAATACGCGATAATTCATAAGTTTACCTACCGTGTGATCGAGTTAACAAAAATGAGATCTAAATGGTATATGAAGGATATTAAAAAGATTAAAAAAATCATGTTTTCTTAATAACAAATCTATGTATGCGTTTTGATATCAGTAATTTCGTTGATAGTAAACAAAATAAGTAATCAGAATGTTATTATATCTATGGTAGGAGAACAAAAAAAACTAAATTAGTTATTATTTTGATATCATGATATCAAATTTAGTAATCTGAATGTTTTTCAAGATTCAAAATCAAAAAAATGTTATCAATAAGTTTTCATTTATTCGAAATAAAAACAAAGCTAAATTTCAATCATTTCTATCGATATGTATCTTATATCGGTTAGTGAATTAAATTCGCAGGAAGGTTACTATCAATAAATGTTGTAAAATATAACTGCAAAAATCACAATTCAAGCTGAACATTGCATTGTGTCCTAAGTAACTAATAAAAGAAGCTTCCCGAGCAGAGAATGAAAACTGAATTTGATATGTTGATATAAGCGTTCGTGATAACATATTTTGCCTACCGTGTGGTCGAGTTAACAGTAATCATAACAAAAATGAGATCTAAATGGTATATGAAGGATATTAAAAAGATAACAAATAATGTTTTCTTGGTAACAAATCCATGTACGCGTTTTGATATTAAGAACTTCGTTAATAATAAACAAAATAAGTAATCAGAATGTTATTACAGGGCGGGTAGTGTTGATGCAATTTAATAGTAGTGATTTGAGTGACTAAAATTACCGAAATAGTGACCAAATAGTAACTTGTAAATACTAAATAAGTAACCATTTATATGGTAACTCAGCAATTCAAATACTTTTTGATATTGAAATAAACTTTTTTAAGAAAGTAGAAAGCGAAAAAGGACAATTTGGAGGAAAGTACGAATCAAGTAGAGCATCTCCT